ATGCACCATAGGTGTGGTCTCACCAATTGCCCTCCCTTAAGGGCAAATATCTTAGGGTCCCAGGCCCCCATGAAGTGCCCAATCAACCTTTAACGCCTTAGGTGGAGTTACTGCGCCAGTTTAGCTTTTGGCATGATGTGAAAAGTGCAAGTTTGAGCGGCTACTGCCAGGAGGGAGGGTTAAGACCAGAGAAAGGATGCCATCTGGCCAGGCAAAGCCCCAGGTGGAGCTTCTGGATATATACCTAGTAGAGGAATTGTAGGACGAATGGCAGGTCTATTTTTAGATCTCTTAAGTGTTCTCCAAACATCTTTCCAAAGGGAATGTATTAGTTTGCATTCCCACCAGCAGTGCAGAAGTGTTCCCTTTTCTCCACATCCACGCCAACATCTCTGGTTTTGGGATTTTGTGATGTGGGCTAATCTTACTGGAGTTAGATGATATCTTAAAGTAGTTTTGATTTGCATTTCTGACAACAAAGATATTTGTACCAGAATGTTTATTGCAGCCCAAGTCATAATTGCTAAGTCATGGAAGAAGCCCAAGTGCCCATCGACCCATGAATGGATCAATAAATTGTGGTATATGTACACCATGGAACATTATGCAGCCTTAAAGAAAGATAGAGACTTTACCCCTTACATGTTTACAAGGATGGAGCTGGAACATATTCTTCTTAGCAAAGTATCTCAAGAATGGAAGAAAAGTATCCAATGTACTCAATCTTACTATGAAATCAATTTATAGTTTTCTTATAAAAGCTATAACCCAATTATAGCCCAAGAAGAAGGGGAAAGGGGAGAGGGAGGGAAGGGGAGGGAGGATGGGTGGAGGGAGAGTAATTGGTGGGACCACACTTACGGTGCATCTTACAAGGGTACATGTGAAATTTACTAGGTGTAGAATATAAATGTCTTAACACAATAACTAAGAAAATGCCGTGAAGGCTATTTCAAACTGTATATAAAACCACCACATTGTACCCCACGATTGCATTAATGATTTAATAAAAAAGCCCCAGGTGGGGGCCTTGAATGACCTGCAGCAACAAATGGAAAGTCCCTAGGCTTGGTGGGGGGGGGTGCTCCAACCCAAACAAACCTTCACTGCACGATTTTGTTACAGCCAGCCTGCTGCTGTCATGCTAACCTGCTGCTGAGGCTAAGATGTCCATTTAAACTGATGACCTGGGACCCTACCCTGAGAATAGAGGCATCCCAAACCATTTTCCTCTCAATATTAATCCTCTGCCCCTGGCACCAAGCCCTGGATATTTCCAGATCCCCCCAGCAGAACCAGTCCAATGCATGTTTTCTACGTCGTCCTTCTGCCTCTTCACCCCACCTCCTCCACCCTTCTTTCTCTGAATGCTCCCTGTCATGCTTGGGTATCAGGACGAGAAGCAGTCGGCCACCACTCTCTTGGTGGGACCCCGTCACGGCATCAGCCATGTTATTGACCTCAAAACCAACCTCACCACTGTGCTGTCCGAGTTCAGCAAGATCAGCAAGATCCAGCTGTTCCGGGAGAACCAGGGCGTGGCCCGGGTGGAGACCAGCATCATGGATGCCAAGGTAAGCTCTGCTTGGAAGGGCTACTTCCATCCAGAAACAGACCTTGGGAACAGAGGACAATGTGAACTTGAGAAAGAGAGCTTTAGCCTGTTAGGTAAGATTCGGTGGTTCAGAAGAAGTTCAGACTCTGCATGCTTTGGGGTTCATTCTTCTTTCCCTTTTCAACTCTCTCTGGGCCATGCTGTTTTTACCACTTAATAAGGTCACCCAGCTAAGCTAGCAAGTGTCAGATCAACCTCAAACAGTTCTTCAAAACAGAGGAATTAGAGGACTTGGAGCTACCCTCAGGCCATTGCTTCCTGATCCTTCTCATGTTATAGCACATATAGAATATTATATTCACATGGAACATTGGGGTAAATGAGGTAGCCTCAGAGACCCTGTCCACACCAGGCCCTGTCTGGCTGCCCCATGGGCTGAAGGGATGAATATCTCATTTCCACCCATTCTGTGTCCACATGGTGGGGACCCTGCCATAGGCACACACAAACCTTGGACTCATAGAGGAGGAGGTATCTGAGAAGCATGTGGACACAACCTAGGGCTCCTGGGGAGGGAGACAGGCAGAGCCTAATCCCCATTTCACCTCTTTGGAATTCAGCTTTTCCAGCACCTTAGAACCTTTCCCATAGATCAGCTCCTTTGGACGTGCAAGCAGCTGTCGCCTATGCAAAGTCTGGCAGCCGTGGTCAGCCACCCCCTCCACAGCTCTCCTGTTTGAATACCAGTGACCAGTGTGGGTGGGGGGCAGGCCTGCTTGCCAGCTGGCGGAAACTCTTAGTAGGTGCAACTTTTCCGTTCTTAAAGGATTTCCCAGGGGGGGAATGTTGTTAGCCGATTAAGAGGTGGAGTGTTTGCTGTTTCTAAAAGAGCAAATTATTTGCTTTTTTTTTTTTTATATTTGTGAAACCCAGAAAGCTTTAATATGTTAATTTTTCCACCTGTGATGCATAGGCTTCCCATTGGTTTAAGAACCTGCTTGGAGCCGATATTTAATTGGCATGTGGCTACCTCCTCAACCAATGGCAGCTGCCGTCCTCAGATGTTGTTGGGTAAAAAGTCAAATGGTCTGGTTGGGAAGGGGAAGGAAAGACAAGGCGTGCAGGGGGTTTGTGGATTCCTGAGCAATAAAGGGGGCTTAAAACAGAAAAACAGCTTTCCAACTGAGTCATCTTCTGTGTTCTATGAGTGATTCTCAGCATTGGCTGCACAATAGAATTTCCTTGAGAGCTTTTAAAAAGTACAGATGCCTGAGTCCTACTCCTAGAGATTATGATTCTTAGGGAGGTGTTTTTGCTGCAGGCTGGGCATCAGGATGTTTTGTTTTTTCTTTTTCTGTTTCCCCGGTGATCATGTAGTTCGACCAGTTTGAGAACTCACAGGTTTAAGGTTTAAGACCTACATAGCCAGAGCTCTGGGAGGGAACAGGCTGAACAGTAAGGAGACTGTGCTTATATCTGGGAGTGATCCAGTCACAGCTGTGGGCATGAATGCCACCCAAGAGAGGCTACACTCTTACGGGGGAGACTAGACTCACAAAGACACATCTCCTGCCTTAAAAACAACTTTAGAACATGTCAGAAGCTCTAGAAACAGATCAGGTTCAAATCCCAGGTCTACTACTTCCAAGTTGTATGGCCTTGAGAAAGTGTCTTAACCTCTCTGAACCCTGATTCCCTCAACTGCAAAATGGAGCACCTATCTCAAAGTTATTGTCAGGGTTAAGTGAGAAAATGTACATAAAATGTCCTTAGTACACCACCTGGCACATACTAAGTACTCAACAAATGAGACCTGTTATTTTTCTTTCAAAAGCAAAACAGCATTAAAGATTAAAGTAATATGAAGTAAATGCTATAAATAAGTGTGATGTGGAACATGGAACTAAAGAACAGGAAGGAGTTAACCAGAAGTGGCATCCCACAAGAGGGTGTTTTAAGCTGGATCTTGAAGTGATAGGCATGAATTAGCAGAGAGAAGTGGGATGTGTTCAAAGGCAAGGAGCAAGCACAGAAATAAGCAAGCCATATGTGCAGGTCGATAAGCATAGCTGCTTGGCTGGAGAGGAGAGTAATGAGAAAAGAGATTGGGGAGATTGGGGGTGGGCAGAACGGGTTCATTAAAAGCCTTGCAGGCTGGTCTGAGGACTATCGAGTCAATATGGTAGAATAGTGGGATTCCACAGTAGGTGGGAAGGATGACTGCACGAAAGCTGACTTGGACCAGGATGCAAGATAGGGGGGGAACAAGCCTAGTGTGGAGCCAGGTCAGCAAGGAAGAGACCATAGCAATATTCCAGGAGCAGAGGGATAAGGGCCTGAGCTGGAGGGACAGCAGTGGTCATGAGAAAGAAAAAGTGGGTGCAGAACACACGGGATCAGTAAGTGTCTGCACTTCCTCTCCAAGCACCGCTCTTGCACCGACACAGCATGTGTTTTCTCACATCACACCTAACCCTGCTGCCTACTGCCTGGATCCCAAGTGCACCAGAGTAGGGTGTTTTGTGCACAGCAGAGGGAAGATCAATGATATCATGATAGAAGGAAAAGAGGTAGAGGGAGGAAAAATTCAAGACTTCCATTTGACAGTTACTTAGTATGAATGTACTATTGCTAGGAAGCATGCTAAACACAATCAGGGAGACACAGATTTTCTTTAAACAATAAAGAACAGGGGCAGCGACTGTGGCTCAATGGAGTAGGGCGCTGGCCCCATATGCCAGAGGTGGTGGGTTCAAACCCAGCCCCAGCCAAAAAAAAAACCCAAAAACAACTGAAAAAATAAAGAACAGGCTCTGCACCTGTAGCACAGTGGTTATGGGCCAGCCACATACACCGAAAGTGGCGGGTTCAAACCCGGCCCAGGCCAGCTAAACAACAATGACAACTGCAACCAAAAAATAGCCAGGCGTTGTGGCCGGCGCCTGTGGTCCCAGCTACTTGGGAGGCTAAGGCAAGAGAATCACCTAAGCCCGGGATTTGGAGGTTGCTGTGAGCTGTGTGATGCCATGGCACTCTACCAAGGGCAATAAAGTGAAACTCTGTCTCTACAAAAAAAAAAAAAAAAAGAGTGCTGTGGTGTCACAGCTCACAGCAACATCAATCTCTTGGGCTGGGTTCAAACCCTCCAGCCTTGGTGTATGAGGCTGATGCCATAACCACTGGGCTATGGGCACCGAGTCAGAAGCTTACCATCTTGTAGGAGAGAAATACACACAGTACATGACAGATTAAAGGAGGTACCATAGGAGAGGTACCAAGAGAGTGTTAAGGGAATACAGGGAGCAAAATTCTGACTGGGGGTATTAAGGAAAGCTTCCTGGAGGCGCTTGATGTCAGTAATACTTGTGGTTACTGATAGGTGCCTCTGGGAAGGAGTTGGGGAAGCAGGGTTTGGGAAGCTTCTACTGGAGAATAGCTTCCCTACAATCAGCAGGAGTCTTCCCACAGTGTCAGTGGTGTGCTGCAGCTGGCTCTCACAGTGCGCCAGAGCCATTTGGACACACCTCTCCCAACTCATACTCAGTGCCATCACCCTGATAGCCTGCAAGCAGCCATGGTGGGACTGTGTACACCAGGGGCATCAGCTAATGCTGCAAATCAGGACTTGAAAGAACTGGTTGTGAAATGTTTACCAGCAGACCACTGTGTGGGGCATACTGAAGAAAGGCTTCTGAGCATCCTTGACAGGAGATGCAGAAGTTAGAAACCAGACTTCGTGGGGCCAGACACGGGGGCTCATGCCTGTAGTTATAACACTCTTAGAAGCCAGGGCAGATGGATCGCTTGAGCTCATGAGTTCGAGACCAGCCTGAGCAAGAGTGAGACCCCCCCCATCTCTAAAAACTACCTGGGCGTTGTGGTGGGTGCCTGTCGTTCCAGCTACTTGGGAGACTGAGGCAAGAGGATCACTTGAGCCCAAGAGTTTGAGGTTGCTGTGAGCTATGATGACACAGCAAAGAAAGAAAGAAAAGAAACCAGACTTCGCCCACCTCCCCTCTGCTCTGGGAATCTTCTGGAAGGGCCTGGTGAAAGTATTAAGATTATTCATTTAAAGCAATTCTGAGCTCTGACCACACATGCTAATCACATGCGGAGGTTGTAAGAACTACTAGATGCCCAGGTTGTTCTTCTCAGACGATTTAAATTAGAATTTGCAGGGTTGGGGCCCAAGGGGATTCAGGTTCTCACTGCTTCCCAGGAGATGTGATGATATGTATCTGGCCTGAGAATCACGGCCTTAAGTGATACTCTGCCTTGTCCCCAAAGTAGCTGGCTGTGTTCAAATACCCTTTCCTAGTGCTGTGGAGGCAAGAACGCAAATGTGGCAGTTCCCTGGGTCTCAAGGACCATCATCTTGTACCCTGGCCCCTGGGATTCCCATCCTTTTCCTGTTTTCCAGGATGCTAGAGTTAGCCAAGGCCAATCCCCTCCCTAGTTGGCATCCCAAAGTGCTAGATGCGTGCGAGCTCCCAGGGCACCCTGGGAAGGAGATGCAGCTGAGACCTGGCACATTAATCCCTGCTAAACCCTCTCCTGGCTGGTTCATGCCTTAAACTCCATTCTCCTTTTCCATTTGAAGATAGCCTGTGCATATTTCGTTACAGTTTTCACTCAGCTTACTTGCTCTTTGTGGAGCGAAGGTGAAGTAGTATTCAAATATCTTTCTCCAAGACAAAGCATCTGGGCCATTACCATCCCCTATTGCCACAGAAGCAGGTAAGGGGAGGGGAAGAAACCATCAAAGGAATGTCCCAGGGATCTCTTGTGGCCCAGTGTGTCTCCTATTCTCAGGTTTGAGCTTTGTTGCTCTAGTGCAGTGCTTCTCAACCTTCCTAATGCCCCAATGTACTTTCATTGTTAAAAAGGGGTCGTTACGCACAGGTTGAGAACCTCTGCTCTAGTGCTTTCTGTAGGGCCAAGCATTACAATAGATGTCATAATCATTAAAATCCTATGTAAAATAAAATGATGTTTTTGAAGGTTTCTAAGAAACTATCC